TAGTCACCACGTCATGTAGTTTGTGCCTGCCAAATTTCATGTGCGTGGCGATTTTGGTGAGTTTTCGAGCATGTTTAGGCCCTCAAAATCGCGTTTCAAAAGTCGGTAAAGTAATAATAAATAACAATAATAATAATAATAATAATCACAACGGTTCCAATAGGGTCCTTGGTGTGCTCGGACCCTAATTACCACAATAAAAACAGTCAACCAATTTCCAAGAAACAGTGTTTTCTTGGCTCAACTTGCCCCCAGCAAGGGGTAAATTGAGCTGTTGGAGGAAATATGTCAGGGTAAATTGTGCCATCAATTGTGTTGAAGTAAAATTGAAAAATGTCTACCTTATATAATGCTATATCAAAGCAAGACAAATTCAATAGCAAATGACCTCTCTGAAACACAATTGACAAAGTTTTGAACAAAATCATGTTCAAAATAAACACATTTCTACAAAATTGGGCAACGATTCAACATATATAAAGGTTGCAACTTTAAAGATCACTGGTCTTTACATTTTTAGAACAAAATCCGTTTAACAAGAACAAAACTGACCATTTTCACAAAACCAGGCTACTGGCTCAACATCAATAAAGCTACAACTCCAAAGACCTTTTTTTTTCAACAAAGCCTAAGTATTTCACATTTTCATAAAGAAATCAAGTCAGTAAAGAATAAAATTTTCTGCAACTCTCTCTGAACTGGGTTAACATAGAACATCCCACTTGTCAGCGCTGCACACAGACATATTTGCAAGATCAAAATAGTCTAAATCCACTGCAATTCTCCTCACACGACCACTAAACTAGTCAACATTCCACTGATCCACACTGCAGGGATATATAAACTTCTGCTCCCTTCTGGTGCTTCCCCCAGGAGGTGTTAGTAGTGTCTTGATCACCTGCTTTCTGTGGATGATTCCCTGATCCTTCTCCTTGAAGGTGAAAATTGCCCTTCCATCCAGATGAAGCCAGTGGTTTAACTTAACCCTGGCCTTTTGGCTCAACTAACCCCACTGCCACCAGTTAAACAAAAGTGCATCATCCAGGCAATTTAGAGCTAACTTCATGCAAACAGTTAACCTCCGATTGTAGCTTACTAATGCACTAACACACGTGTGAAAAAGTTTCAGATGTCTCAATAATTGTTCAGAGACAACACTCATAAAACCATAAAACATGAAAAATGTACATTGAACAGCATAAAACTGTTTTGTTAACTAAAATGTGCCTACCTCTTACTCCATGTGCTCGTGTCTTCACTGGGAGAGTATAATATTTGACCTCTTCAAAAATGTTTGGTCACAAGACCAATTTCTTCAATGGTTTTCTAGAAACAAGGGGTGGCTCAACTCACCCACGGGCTCATCTTACCCCACTCTCCCCTACTGGTTCAGAAAATCAGTCAGCACACTGTAAATCTGTAACCAACTTCCCCAGCGAAGGATGATATTTCCTCTATACAGACAGTATTTATACAGTGACAAGAATTGATATTTTTAGAACTAAGGTGGGGAGTAGCCGTGGTTTAGACTTAGCCTCCCTTCGTTGGTGCACAGATATGTCCATATCTCTTGGCACATGATTCGTCCAATCCTGTGAGTGAGCACCTGTTGAGAGACCACCCTATTCTTTTCTACCTCTTGGTTCACGTTTTATGTCACGTTGCATCAATTCTGTCTATGCCCTGCCTGACACAATCTTCTAAGCAACAGGAAGCAGTCTGCGGTTAGTTGCAAAAGCAAGTGCACATCAGCCATCAGCTGCACAACAGAACATGTGGTTATCTGCGTATGTGGATGCCTCTGCACCCAGAGTGTAGGTTGTGTAGGTGTGCAGCTGAGTTCAGTCTGGACGGCTTCTGTCCTTCTCATCTGTCAACAGGCCCTCACTTTCAGTTCAAGGCATACAAGCACACTGGAAAAAAAATCACCCTAACAATGTCAAACCTCCTCTGAACAGGATCCAGCTGTTGGACATAGGACAGATGTTTCCTTTAAATTCACTGCAACAGCATCCGATGTTTCATTTTTCATTTCTTGATAAAAAATACATCTGAAAGTGTTTTTGTTTTTTAAAAGAGGGGAGAAGAATGGGGAGAGACCTGCAGCAAAGGGTCACGAGCAGGAGTCGAACCCATGACTGCTGCATCAGGGAACTATAGCCCCTGTTCATGGGTCGCCTGCTCAACATGGTGAGCTATAGGGGTGCCCCGAAAGTGTCTTTATGTGTCTGTTAGAAGGCCTGCGGTTGGCAGTCCGGAGTGTCTGTGCTGCTGTTTTCATAGTCCTTGTGTAAGTCCAGTGCTCCGTACAGGGCCTCCAGTACAGCCAGTACTCTGCTCTGGACTGAATCCACCTGCTCCACTGGGCAGTATTCATCCAGACTGGACCTGCAAACACACATGAACAAAGGTGTTTCACCTGCCTTTCTGTGCTTCTACACTTTTCACAAAGACAGACGTGATGCTTAGCTGTGTAAACTGCAGCTGTTTTATTCACCTGGACATAGTGACCAGAGTGGGAGTGGGCAGAGCCTTCAGGAACAGCTGCACCGCTGAGATGAGTCTGTCGATCTCCTCGTCGCTGCTGATGTGGTGAGGAAGCTCCACTGAGTCACAGGTCAACCCTGCCTGGTGAACCTGACAGAGAGCAGAAGGGTTAAAGCAGCAGAGCAGGAGATGAAACAAGATGAAACAAGGTGGGAAGGAAAGAAGAAGAACTTCATGTTTATTTCTATTTATTTACTGTTTGAGATTTCTCCTGCTGAACGTTCCGGCAACCACAGGGAATATACAGCAGATCTCATGTTTATCAGGGTCACCACCTGAGTTCGTGTGGCTGCAAAGTACAGCTGAGGATGATGGGAACGCCATCTGGTGGATTCCTCTGCAAAGAGGTTTTCAGTGTTGACTGTTTGTCAGCAAGACTGCTTAGAAAGCTTCATTAAACTTGGTGGAGCATCAAAAAAGGAAAGAACCCATTAAATTTTGGTGCAGATGTCCAGGTAGTTAAAATCTGAAAACCCCCCAAAAGTTCCATCTTTGAGCATGCATTCATAAAAAAATGCTAATGCGGAAGTCCATCCATCCATTCACTATCTATACACCGCTTAATCCTCACTAGGGTCGCGGGGGGCTGGAGTCTATCCCAGCTGACTTTGGGTGAAGGCAGGGGACACCCTGGACAGGTCACCAGTCTATCACAGGGCTACACTTAGAGACAGACAACCAAGCACATTAATGGATGATTTAGAATCACCAATTAACCTCAACATGCTTTTGGACTCGTGGAGGAAGCCGGAGAACCCGGAGAGAACCCACGCTGCACGGGGAGAACACGTAAACTCCATGCAGAAATATCCCGGTGTCCTCACTGGGACGCAAACGGGTGATCTTCTTGCTACAAGGCAACATTGTTAACCACTGCCCCACCTTGCAGCCCGAGACTGAGACTGAGCTATAAAATAAACAAAGAAGAAGTGAAACTACGAGGACTGATACATAATAAGCTTTCTTATGTAACCCCCAACATATTTTTAAAAATGAAAAAAAAATGAAAAAAAAACACAAAAACTACAGAAAAAAACATCTGAAACAATTGTTCCAAGTTATGCTGTTTTAATTGTTGATTTTACAGCGTAAATTACATCAAGGTTTTGTTGTGACATCAGTTCACGGTGCACAAACACAAACGTGCACATTACAGTCTGGAACAGTGGTGATCAGTCTGAGACACTTTCTTTTTGTGCACACAGAATAGACCAGAGTATATATTAGACTAGCTGACTTCATCAGTTTGCTATCACTCATCAAAAATGTTTTTATTTCTTTTTATCATGACACATTTTGCATAATAACAACACCAAAGTTGACTTCAGTTGATTTTTTTTCCCGCCTTTTCCTTCATGAACGGTCAATTGAGTAAATTATCAAGTCCAAATAGATGTTTCTCATAAAGACAACAGTATATACATTTATTTTGGATACCACAATAGTTATGATAGAGCAAAAGTCTTACTGGACAAAATTAATTGATATGAACACAACCACAGAGCGATTAAAATTATATTACGTAACACAGTCAAACATTTCTAGAAAGAGAAACATGAAACATCCATAATGACAATGCTGGTATTATTAAAAATAAAATGTGTGTTGACATGGTTGTCAGATGTGATTTAATGATCAAAAAGTTTTACAAAATATGGCTTAGATTCCTTTTACACATCAGAGTTTCATCAATGTTCTCTGTCTAACAAAAAAAACTATAGAGGTGATAAACTGCACGTTGTCAAAACTACAACATGATAAAAGAATACAAAGAAAATGAAACATTACAATCATTCAGTACATCATACAAACTCCTATGATTAAAAATAAGCCCCATAAAACTGTTTTATTGTACATATTTCATGCATATTAGAAAACAGGCTTAAAAATTACATCCCTCTAAGAAAAAAACTATCTGTATAAAACTTTAAAATGGTAAAAATATAAAGAAAAAAGTTAAAGTGATCTTTAATGAAGCAGTGATTGATTTGTGAAGACATGTTCTGTGTTTGTCTTTATCTGCAGGAACATGTTATTTTCTACAAATCCTACTTTGTGGACGTGATTGTGATTATTGTTCTTTTTCCCTGTTTTTGGTTTATGAGGTTACTTGAAATCAGACACCGTTTGCAGTCAAACCATCTTTTTCATTTCGTGGTCTGCTGAGTTTCCTCATTTCTCAGCTACAGACAAAATCACATACTGTATCTGTAAAAGCTGTTTGTTCAGGCTTGGATTCATGAGTTACTGGTTGCATTGATTCACTCACACATTTCGTCCAGACTTTGAATGGCTTGGTCCTTAGTGATAGAGTGCCACTCAGATGGAATTGCTCCT